GATGGATCATGGACACATCTAAAACCTCCAGGACACCGGCTCTCTGGAGTTGCCCACCCCTGGTGTAAAGTTTGGTGACGTCTGTCTCTTACTGACTGACACGCCTCCAGATTCTGACCAATGATGGTTCGTGCCTTATGAAGCAGCTTGCTAATACACCATGGCTCCATGATTCAGGTGGTAAACTGACAACAAACGAGGCTTTGAACTGTTAAGGAGCCCAAATGCTAAAAAAAGATCCTGTGATTAATGAGAAGATAGAATAACTGGGGCAGTTTCCAACCAGCACACCAGACTCAATGTAGGCCACAAAATACGAGATAAATTAGGAGAACAATGAGTTGCCTGGACTGGATCTCAACGTCACTGCATCTGACAGAAGAGCCAAAGTATTTGGGGCTTTGGATGCTGATGGTAATGAAAACAAACAGCTTCAAAATAAATTGGAGACACAACTAAAAGCTTTAACATTGAACAATAACTTGGCTACATTTGCACTTTTCTTCTGTGGTACAAACTGTTGTTACTGAGATCCAACACAGTATGCTTATCATTTTTATGCTTACTGTGATCTTTGTCACTGATTAATGTGAACTGGGTCTTTTTTCATTTGTCCTCACTGGTTGTTTTTCTCTCTCACATGTGAGTTTTTCCAGTCACGAGGTTAACTGATGATCCCTGGGACCAGCGGAAGACTCAGCATAGCTTCCAGATTTCTGTACTTTTGTATTCAAGAGTAATACAATTCCTGTGCCTCACTTTCTGTCTGCTTTTTGTTGTATAATAGGATCATACATATTGTATTATATAACAAAGTAGCTCAAGGCGACTGTGCGCCACATGACCAGATTTCTCCTGATGAAGCCACAGACTGCAGCTTGGAAGCAGGAACTCATCTGATCTTTGTGATTTAACCTGAAGCCAGTGGTTTTGTCTCAAGGCAGCAGCAAAATTGAGATAAATAAAAATTAAATGATGTCAATAGAGTTTAAATGTATGCCTGTTCCCCACAGACAACAGATGAATCTTGAGACTATCTAAAACAGGGATAACAAATTAATTTTACACGATGGGCCACATGTAGCCTTTAAGTGAGCTGGACCAGTGACACTTTGCTTTCTGTCACTGTATAAACGTTTAACTGCACATCGAATTCATGAGATATCTTAACTGAGGTTTCAACTGTGTGTCTTGTTTTTTTTTTATGATAAAGGACTGCTGCTGCAGCAAATGACTGAAACTTGTCAACATGATTCTATGAGCAAAAGTCTACCTGCCTCTATGCCCACATAGAGGTAGTTCAACTGCATATGAATAGACTGGTTCTTATATAGCACCTTTCTAACGGACTACTCATAGCACTTTACACAAATTGCCTCATTCACCCATTCATACACTGTTCATGCACTCTTTTTCTATGCTTCTCCTACACAAATGCTTTCTATCACATTCATACAAGCAGCTTGGGGTTAGTATCTTGCCCAAGGATATTTTTCACACAGGCTAAAGCAACCTTCCAAATTAGCAGGTGACCTGCTCTACCTCCTGAGCCACAGCCACCCCAAGTAAGCATTACAGTAACAAAACAAGCATTTTAATACTGAAACTTTTGACAAAGAATACTTCTAAAAGCGACTACAGCTTTTCATATTGTACACGTTTCTGCCTATATTTAGAAGAGTTATCCTACTACTTAGTGTCATAATAATAATAATAACAATAACAATAATAATAATAATAATAATAATAATAATAATAATAATAATAATAATAATAATAATAATAATAATAATAATAATAATAATAATAATAATAATAATAATAATAAATTATGACAGTAGGTGACGATATGCTTCGTTAATATTTGAAACTAGAGAAGAAGAAGAACTTCCGGGAGGGATGCGGGATTGTCCAATCACGATCGACTCCAGAAGTGCCGGTCGGGGCAAATAATGTACTTGCGTGCTGAAGAAACGGAGTAACAGAAGATAACTGTAAATACATTCACGCGTGGAGTATAAACAGGACCGTATTTTCTCCCACCTCACACAACAGGTATGAAGTGTAGTTGCTTCCAGCCGCGTCATCAAAATGAACTTTTTGAGTTAACGCAACACTGAGCATATGTAGGAATAATAGCAGCTTAGCATGCTAGCTAACGTTGCACAGTGTAATTCATTCTGACTTGTAGCTACATGTTAGCATGCTAACGAAGCTTAGCCAAAAGGACAGCACTACAATAAAATAAAATGAATTCAAACATGTTTTTATCGTGATTCACATCACGCCACTTCACAGCAGCCGGAATTAAGTTTCATTTGAAACTGTACATTTTTGTTGCTGTTCCTAAAGCTAGTTTATAGCAACCAAGCTAACACCACAGCGCTCCATGCGCGCGCTCCAGGTGTTGCTGTCAACTGTCCGAAAGCTCACAGCTGTATGTCCTTATATACATGGGTGTTTATGTTATTCACAGTTTGTATGTTATCGACTAGGCCTAGTCCTAAACGTGTTTTGTTGTTGTTGTTGTTGTTGTGGCAGTTCTCAGTTATATTACGTCTGAAACGTTTACGTTCTCACTTTACGTTTACTTCTGAATTTGTGTAAATCTCCATCCACGCAGTTGAGGAATTGCAGTACATTTTAACCCAGTCCCTTCTTCTAAGGATTGAAAATGAACAACAAAAAATACATACAAAACCTTTAGTCAGTGAGGTACAATGTTGATTAGGCTTCTAAAATAACAGCAACATATTTATGTAAAATTGTCCAGGTCAATTATACCTTTTCCCCCCAAAAGGATGTGAGCACCCTAAAATTATAGCTCCCCAAACCACTGTACACTAATCATCTCACCTCTGATGATGTTACATGTAAATATCTTCATTTGTTTCTCTATAGCAGCATGGATACAGAGGGATTTGGGGAGCTCCTGCAGCAGGCAGAGCAGCTGGCTGCTGAGACCGAAGCAGTGTCTGAACTTCCTCACGTCGAAAGGAACCTTCAGGAGATCCAGCAGGCGGGGGAGAGGCTTCGATCCCGCACCCTGACCCGCACCTCCCAAGATGCTGCAGACGTAAAAGCGTAAGAAATATAAGATAGAACTTTATTAGTTTTCCTGAGGGAAATTCTTGTGGTTTCTGTTATTGCACAGTGCTATAAGAGTGGAAACAAAAACACTTAGTAGTCACAGAGTAAACCAGCAAACAACAAAATAAAGCTGAACTATAAAATAACAAGATACAACCAAGAACAGTATGAAATATGAACATCAGTATGTGCAGATAGGCAGAAAATGTCCCACTGTTAATCGTAATATTACTGCTGATACTACTGATAATAACAGATAATAAGTTACAAGTGTCACAGGACATGAAACATGGAGCATAGACAAACAGGACAAGTTCAAATAAAAAG